GGGTGACCCACCGGTGGGTCACGCTAGATTGTCTCATCTTGGCAGCGCACCGGAGTAAAAACTGGTAACAATAAATTTCATTTTTTAGTTTTTTTCTGGGAATAATAAAATCCATAACTACCAATTGTTTTTAACGGGTGCAAGGTTTATATTGAATTACTTCTTCGCCGCGAAAAATTTCCTTACAGTGAATTGTTATTGTTGACAATAGATTAACTCCTCCCGCTTATTATCTAATATTGAAATAGTTCTACTAGTATTTTCTCTTTTCCCGTACCAGTATTTTCACTTTTCCCGGCGTGAATGTGTTAGGGTTCTCAGTTATGCATTTAGGGTTGCGTGAAAATATTTAATTTTTACATTAAGTAATATTTTCCACCACTTTCTGAAATCTTCCCCATCTACAGTAAACAATGGCAGCTGTAATATTAGTTTTCAAATGCAGTATTAAAGCTCGATAACCCTTTAAGACACAGGCTGCACGATTACTCGGGTTAGATATTAACCTAATATGTGTATAGTAGTGATATATTTATTTTAGAATATTTAAACTGAGTAAAAGTTTTCTTCTTTAAACGCTGTCATTTTAATATTAAAATTGCCCATTACTAAGATAAAATTATACTTAAAAAATAATAATGCCAGTGCGTATAAATTATCTTTAATTTTTTAGAAGAGTGTTAATAACAAAATATCTTTCCCAATATTTTTACGTTTTGAGCTATTTGCACCAGAAAAAATAATTTTTATCAAATTGCAGATAATGTATCAGTACAAACAATTAGTTTGAATATTATCGAAAAAAAATTATACGTATTTATAAATTGCCGGGAGGTTATTTTTAAAGGAAAATATATTGAAAATGGTTATTAAAAATTTGTGATATGCCAGTAAACTAATATTAAGGCATTAATTTTGACAATTTTTGTTGAACATTGATGGCATTTGTTGGACATTTTTAGCTATGTAAAAAATACCTTTATGGAAAAAGTGGTTTGTTGATTTGCATTTGTGCTTAAACTAATTTAATGTAATCTAGATGCCACAGTATTATAGTGTAGATAAAAAAAAATAATTTAAAAATCCAATAGTGTCTAAGAGTTGTTTTTAATATTATATAAGAAAAATACCATATTTTACAATTTTTATGCTCTCTTTGAGGGTCAATTTTTGCATAAAAGTATCATGCTTTAATTAAGCATTATAAATAGTATCATGATTAAATTATTTATGATGTTCAACTGAATATCTGTCTTAATACAAAATATTGAAAATGTTAAGTTAAATGTTAATTCTGTATCATGAACATAAGAAATACCTTGTTGTAGATTTTTTATTCTATCTTGTGGTATTTATCATGTATCAAAATACCTCGTAATAATAAATGGCGAAATTAGGCAATTTTTTTTAAAAAAAAAACATCATGTTCAACTTTCTCTAGAGGTGAAAGATACTAAAATCTGCTTTCCACAAAAATTACTTTTTCGTGACGTGTAGGGATTTACCTTAGTCGTACCGAATTAAGGGTTATATACATTAAGCAGAAAATGATTTGAGGATCTAATTTTGCGAAAAGATCTCATAGTATTTGAAAAACGGAGTATATAGAAAGTTATTTTTAAAGCAAAAATAAAGATATATTTTAATTGAAAATCGTTCAAAGTTTGATTTTATTTAAAACGGTCACATTAAAACGCATGCTTTTTTTATTACCATATAATACCTTGAAGGAACAGAGATTAATCGTGCGCAAAATATTACAAAGTAAGTAGTTTGAATAACTTTTGATCCAATGATTATCATCTACTAGAACTCAAACGTAAGGGTTCGAGGATCTAATCTTGAATATATATTAATTAATTCGTGTGATGTTGTTTAAAAAAATTGTACTTAAAGCATCAAACAAGTAAAAAATACTCGAAAATCTTTGAAATTTGATAAATATCACGCAAATTATTGCTCGAATAATTTGACTTCCTGATTTTTGATAACTGGTTTTTGTGGCATTGATTAAGAGTTAATTGTTCCACTAACTTTTTTTAATATTATTTTTTTATTTTATAATCGTCGTTAAACAGTTGACCAAATTTTGGGTTTACGACTATTAATATTCAACTTCGTAGCCTTGTAATTTTGAAGCAATCCTGAAGACAAAGAAACTTTTGAATCCCCCAGAGGTATTGACTTGCAATGGGAACATGGAGGACTTTGTGACACGACAGATTTAGCGTGCATCAGTCCACATTTACTACACGGGGAGTCTTCTGCCAGCGAGAATCGAACTCACGGCCTTTTGAACAGGTCCTAGCCCCCTACCAACCAGGCTATTCCGGCCCTGTTCTACTAGCTTGAAATAAACAACATACTATCGCAACTAATATCTTTTATGTAACATTAATTGAGAAGGGGAGGGGATAAAAATAATAAAATCCTTTCTACATAAATTTAAATAGAGATTAATAAAATATTTTAGACACAAAACAAAATAAAGCAACAAAAAAGGATTGGGAATGATTAAAAAGAAAATAAATTTATAAATTAATAGAAATTTGAGGAAAATATTTCGTTTCTAACACATTAAGCGTATAATGTTTAAATTATTCCATCAGGCCACGGTCACAAGATACTAAAAATTATTTTACATCATTTTTAAATCTAGTCATATATTTTCCTGATTGAATTTTGCAAAAGTTTAATGCAGCAGCAACGTTTAAACTACCTTTATGAGCTCCGTATTTTATCAACAAAACATTCTCCGGTAATTTCTGCGCTTTAGGTGGAAAATGGCTTTGATGCCACGCCGAAGGCCTTTTACCATGAAAACTTATATATTTTCCAAAAGTTCTTGCTTCATTTACCTGGAATAAACTGACTTCACTTCAGTTTTGAATGCAAGGCTCAGCGCAAAAATAAATTTCTAAATATTTTTTTTTTCTATTTCGATGAAAATAGGTACGCAGCATCAAGCCTGTTATGCTAGTATAGCTCTCTTAATAGATGCTTTCCAAAAGCTTCGAAATGTGGAGACGATGCGAAATAGAACCTCATAAACAGGAAAAAGGAAGTGTGCGATTGCTGCTTCGGAAAAAGTTATTTATGTAAAATAAATATTTATTTGAATTTTCAGACGAAATCAGGAATATTTCCGGAAAGGGAAAAAAATCAATCAATCAAAAAATAAATTTTTTTTGTTGCTAAAACGCTGTTTTTTTTTAAATTCCTTTTCTAAATTAAATCTATTAGTTTAAAAAAATTAGTAATTATTTTATAAAACTTAAGCAATTAAAAAAAGTCAAAAAATTAAACAGTTATTAAAAAGTTAAGTTTACAAAACAAGATATTAAAAATTAAATATTACAATAAAACATTTATTTTTATTTTGTTTTTATTTATTCTTCTCCGAAAATTTATTGTCTTCGTCATTGTTCTTGCATATTTCATGAATACTTATTCATATTATGTTATCAGAGTTAATTCATTTAATACTTTTTCGATGCGTTCAATGTTTATTGAATTAAGCAGCATATATACCTGCCAACATTCACTCTTTTCGAGAATGGATTTTCCAAGTGGTAGAAAAAACAATTACCGAAAAACTGCCAACATTCACACTTTTCGAGAATGGATTTTCCAAGTAGTAGTAAAACAATTACCATTTTTATTAAATCTTATTACCGTGAGTTATTAAATCTTTGCTTTACATAACTTGCCACTATGCGGCTACCTAATTTGCAGCAAAAATTCTGCAAAGCGTATCCCAAGCTTATAAAGATTAGCTATGTCAAAATTAAAGTTAAAACAAAAACAAGTCTGCTGCATGAAACACGTTCATATTGATGGGATCACTTTATGTTATATTACCTTAATTAATTACCTTCGAAGATACCACTTACTATTCTACAGAGTGGTAGTCAAATTGAAAATAGGAATTTTCGAGACTTTTTGAACAATTGTGAAGAAAACTAGACCTACCTGACTAGACTACCTGAAGAAAACTAGAGCAAAGTAGCGTTTCATTTAAGCTTTTGAAACATTTACAAGTAGTTCATGCCTGCCAACTGCTATGATTTTTGCAAATTATTTTACAGATTAAGTAATTTTGCCAAAATTTTAAAAGCTTTGCCAGGAGAGAGCTGCAGGGCTGCCAACTTTCTACTTTTTTTGTAAAATTTATTCTAGTGGTCGCTAAGTTAATATTTTAATTTATTATCTTTTATTCATTTAAACTTAGTTTCCAAACCACTACACATAAATGATTTAAAGGTTCCTATGCATCGCCACTGATTTGTTATTCTTCTGTAAGCAAATTTTCCTTTCCTAAAGTTTATGTTAAGTCACTGTTGTTAATTTCACTGATTTAGAATTTAAATGCTTGCTATAAAACATGTTCTAAAAGCATTCCAATGGTGGAATTTAAACAGTTTGTCCCTCTTGCCATTTAAAAAAAAACACGTTATTCCTTAAAAAAGTAAAAATTGTGGTCAAAACATTCCACTTATTTTTTTCCTTTTTCTTGTAGATATAAGATAAGTAATTATACCATAATGATAATAAAAATATTTATATTTGAATCATTTCATCATCAAAGTGATAGAATTGAGGAAGAAAGACCCATTTGGTTAAAAATACAACTTTATGTAAAGGCATATTTTACTTCATTCATTAATTTGATTTTGGAATTAACGGATTAATAATCTATAGAAATCACTTCTTGCTTCAGATCCCCATTAACTCATACATTTTTCTTAGTTTCATTAAATAGATTTCCTGGTCGTAGTGAAAACAATCAATTGGTGTTTTTTTTAAAGCAAAAGAATCTGTCTTATTAAAACCACAAACATTCAAACATTACAATGCATTTACCAAAAACATTGCATATTCACAACTTCACCAAACATACAACAATTTTATGTATAAATTGACATGTTCTGAAGTTATTATTACGAATTTATAAAAATTCCATTCAGTTTCAATTCCTTTTTTCCTTCTTTTCGCTTCAATTCTCTCCCTCCAATAAAATAAAAAAACCTTTTAGCAAAACCTGAAAAGATGGAAAATATGGATAATCAACTTTTAAAAGATTGGTAATTCATTAGCTTATTCTTTTGTACATCACTTTTCAAACATATAATTTTACGTATGAAAAAATTGCAAAATACTAACGCAGCTATAAAGTGCATTAGCATTGCACGTTTTCCAAATGTAACATGCTATGTTAAATACTCGGCATCTTTAGTTAGTTAATATAGATCACGTTTCCATAAACCTGCAGACATTCTCTGAAGTGTAATTACAAAGGGCGCATCTAAATGTTGTGTGGGTTGCAAGAATCAGATGTGCCATGCGTAGCATATATGAATATTTACTCGATGTGTTCTACTAAGTACAACTATATGTCATAATATCTAGCGTTATAGCAATGTCATCGTTTAAAACGCCCTTTAATCGAATGGTCCATTAATCAATCATTTGTAAAGGTAACATAAGCTTTATATGATTAAATCCGTATGATATTCAAGACCAATAATTGAGTAATGATCAGATGGAAGGCAGAATTGAAATTGAGACATTTAACTCTTCATATGCTACTGGGAAATATCTGCTTCAAAAATTATTAAGAATTGGTTTATTTCATTCAATTACCATAACGTAATTCAAAATGAGTTTGCTCACAATTCAACAAAATAATAATAAAAAATCTAATGATCATAAATAACATTGAACTGAAATTAAGACAATGGACTCTTTATAAGCTACAGGGAAAATTCTGCTTCAAAAATCACTAAGAAGGGAATTTTTTTGTTCAATTTCCATAATGTGAAACAAAAAGAGTTTGCAAGCAATTCAGCAAAATAATATTCAGAAATTCTCACAGTCAAAAGTAACACCGAATTGAAATCGAGATATTTAACTTTAAACGTTACAGGAAAATATCTGCTTCAAAAATCACTAAGAATTGAATTTTTTTTTATTCAATTACCATAATGTAAAACAAAGAGAGTTTGCACACCATTCTAGACGATAATAATCACTAAGAATTGACGTTTTATTACTTAATTACCATTATGTAAAGCAAATAGAGTTTTCGCACATTTCAACAAAAGAATAATATTAAATACTCATGGTCAAAAAGTAATGAATAAAAATCAAGACGTTTAACTCTTTGTATGTTACAGGTGAATATCTGCTTCAAAAATCACTAAGAATTAACCAGTAATTTTATTTAATTATCATACTGTAAAACAAGGAGAGTTTGCACACAATTCAACGAAATAATTAAAAAAAAAAAAAGCTCCAAATACTATTTTTTCTAAGCTATCCTTGAATAATGCTGACTGTGCTTGTGTTAGATGAATTTTTATATCCATTTACTCGTAATGCTTTTAATTTAATGCAACAGTTATAACAAAATCAAGTAAGCTTTTTAGTGCAATTGTTTTTACAGAGTAACAGAGATTACGTATTCTGGTAGAGAGATAGTTATGGATAATAGCTATAAATCAAATCGTTAACAATATTTTATTTTAAATGATAATTTTGTGACATTGTTGTAAGCACAAATATTAGGAGGGAATATTCTTAACTAATAAGTAGAATATCAGAAGAGAAAAATTATTTCAAGAAGAAATAAAAAGTTTTGATTCTAAAATATAGAGAAGAAGTAATATTTGCAAAAAATAAATTGGCGATCTTGAATAATTGTATTTGGCCAACCTCTTTTTTTCCATTGTTCTGAACACAGAGTAATCTCCCCTGGCATAGGAGTGAATGATTACTGTCTTATGATAATAATTCCTGGCTTTATTTGAAACTTTAAACTGGATATAGGACGGTAACAGTGTTTTCAGTAAGCAGTTTATAGGGTTTAGCAGTGGGTTTGAGAGAACCAATTGAGCACGGTTGTTTGCTGATTTAAAGCTGAGCTGACCGTGAGGGTCTTCTTAATGCTCTCCAGTGGACTTAGCCGTTTTTTTTTGTCGAGGCTCTCGTCCCATTCGGTGTTATTTCCCATTTTCGCTACTCCATTCGGTACTATTTTCGATAGCACCCATAATATTGTACTATTGTCGTCTATAGTGATGAAAGTATGGAACGCTAGCGTTCTACCTTGATTGGTCTACTTACGGATTAATATAAGCTGAGCCTAGTCTCATGGGCTTGAAAAATGGAATGACGTGATTGCAATTACGGATTAAACATTTTGGAGGTACCTCTGTATTGTTTAAAATTCATACCAAATAAATTTTAAATAACTACACCGGCATCTCATAATCCTCTAAAGTGATCTTTTATGGCTCGGTTTTGTTTGACGCCAATAAACGTTAATTGTTAAATTTCATTGAGTTCATCTAATTTCAGCAATGGAATTGTTTTCTATGAGTTATTTCGGGTATTTGTTTTTAGTTATTAACTCGTTTAAATGTAATTGCATAAGTTAACGCATAATCCATTGCACAAAGATAACTACATACTTATGAGGGACAACTGTTACTTAATTATGAGGGATACTACTTAATTATGGGTTATAACTACTTAATTATGTAGGATTGTAATTCGTTATTAAATTTAACAGCTAAACTGTTGTCTTAATAACTACTTAATTATAAGAAAATCAAAAATATAAGTATATTATCGAAAATTCATTATCTACATATACTTTCAATGTACTGCAGCAGCAAGGAATATACTTTTTCTTCCATATAAATTTTACAATTGCGTTGTCCCTATTCACTTCGTTGAAAAATGAAACTAATGATCACAAGATGAAGCTGAGTACGGATCATTTTTATCTACAAAACTAATCATTGAGAAAGTATTATGACTAAATTGAAAAAACAAATTTAAAATTTCAACATATATCTTGATCTGCATATATTATAGTATTTCATTTCAAATATCACTTCAATATAGAGAAATAATATCGTAGATAGTAAGCCAAAATTGAATACCTATCCTTACGTATAATTTTCGTCTTTTATTTACCATAAAACTTTAAAAACGAAATATCTCTTTAATAAATTTATTAACCAACAGGATTGCAGAAAAAACACGTTCTTCACGAAAAAAACGATTCTATTTGGTTGACAGAGAAGTAATAAATACTTAAATCAATATTGTAAATGTGAAAAAAATTCCATCACTTTCTTAGTCCCCAATTTATATATAAGAAGACTATCACGTAATTAAACTAATTTTACAATTATTATGTTCTGTTTTAAAAATTGAAAAGCAAAAATTACAAACTCAATAAATCTATTGCTTAAAAAAAATCTAAACTTGTTATGGAGTAATTTATTATTACACACTTAGTTAATAATTTACATATATTTTGATTGTAATTACACATTTAGATTATAAAAACCACCATCATCTACAAGAATTATCTGGAATTTCACAAGAATTTTAAAAAATGTTAGATTATCTACAATGCAGGATTCTAATATTCCATTCTGATATTCGAATAAAATAAACTTGCAACTAACATTTAAGCAACTTTAAAGAAATCGGTTTTTAACACGACCAAAAACATTTTCTACTTCTAGAGCTTTACAATTTAATTCATTAGATAAAATACTGTAACTGTGTTTCAAAGTTCCGAATGTTCGACCCACATTGCTATGCATTCCTTGTCGCATTCATTTGCATTATAAATGTCGAGAAAGGACATAGCTTCCAGAGTCGCTCGACGTTGATTATCGCCAACTGTTACATGAGAATAGATGCTATCAATCTCATCAGAGAAACCCGCATGCACAACGGATTCCTGAAGCTAGACTTCTGCACGAAACTTTATTTACCATCGGTGGATCTTTGTTATAGCTTTTATAGATAATGTAACAATACTAATAGTTTACCGTTAGCGAATTTTAGGAATAACGTTTATAGTTATAAAGATTTGAGAGTAATATATTTTCACCTGTCAGATTTTGTTTTTTTATAAATAATTTAATTGAAGCAAACTGCATGCATTTTCGATTGTTGAACTATAAATTGTTTTAACTAGGGAAAATCGTTTTTATGGTTTCATGGCACAAAAATAGAAAAAAGGATCTTTAATATTAATTATGTTGTTGTAGTCGGCCATTAAGGCAGAGGCGGTGCGATTGTTCTTGTTTTCCAGTGGCGCCATCTATTGCCAAGAAGTTGACATCTACCTCACCAATACGTCACACCCGTTTATAAGAGAGACTCATTCATACGTCCGCAGATTGTAATTTTGATCTGAACCAAAGAACGATCAATCTCCAATTCAGTACCCCCAGAGATACTGATTTGTTATGGGAACATGGAGGACATTGTGACCCGACATAGTTAGCATGAACCAGTCACCGTTTACTATACCCGCTGGATTCGAACTCCCGTTCTCACAAACTCGAGTCCATCGCCCTGCCAACCAGGCTATTCCGGCCAATATTAATTATGGTTAGGGTTTATTAACTAATACCCAATTTAGTAATATACCTAAAATATTATAATTAATTCTAAATAAATTTAAGATGAAAGTAATGGGGAAAAAATAAATTGTTTTAATTATTTTTGAGGAATTTTAAAATTACTTCAATTTAATTTTATTTTTTTTTAAAGTTTTGCAGTTAATTTCTCTTTGCAAAAAAGGAAATATAACAGAGTGAAATAGAGCTTATTTCTTGGACCTCTCGAACACTATAACCAATTTTACTAATATACCTAAAACATTATAACTAATTACATCAAATCTCTCTCTCTCTTTTCGTTTATAAGGTATACAACACTTAAAAAAAAGCAAATTGAAGTAATTTAAATATTCATCAAAAATAGTTAATTGAAAAAATGTACTTTCTTTCATTACTTTACACTGTTTCATCTTTAAATTATTTGAAATAATTATATTTTTGGTATATAAGTAAATTAGTTTTTCTTTGATATATCCTTACCTTAATGAATATTAAGTTCTTTTTTTATATTTTTCTACCAAGAATGCAATATTAAAAAAACAGAGGCAAATTGAAGGAAGTTTAATAATAGAAAATAGTAAATTCATTATAAATTCAAACAATTTAT